TAAATAACTGTGTGACTTGCAGTTATTTGCCACATCAGGGGATAACTGTACCTGGTAGGCTAACACAAAGAGCCTATCTAGCATAAGCATCTTTAATTAGCCTATAACAACAACTGGACACAGGGACAGAAGTCAGCCGCTATTAGTTTGCTTCCAGACAGCATGGGGAATATATGCCTCTAAGTATGAGCACATATTTCTATTTATGTCAAGAATTTGAAAGTAACATAATTTGTAAGGATGATATTCTCGCAATTCTAATTTGCATTAGCGCGTTAATGGCAATTCCCATTAAGTCTTAGCATTGAGCTGATGGACTAATTTGACACGGTTGCAGTGGTGGAAGAAGCGCTCAAATCTTTTACTCAGGTAAAAGTACAAAAGAAACAAAAAGTAAAAGTATTCATCATGCAGAGTGGCCCATATGAAATAAAATAAATGTGTTTCTCTTTAGTATTGAGTCAGGGAAATGGGGGCCTTTTATTTGAGCAACCTGAATCTATTTTTTCTTTAAATTCTGAAACTGACCATTAAAAAATAATATATTCAAATATATTCAAAATTGAAAATCCCTAAATTTAATATTTTCATTTCAAAGAGGTTAATTCACAACAAAAAAATAAATACAGATACATGGATTTTCAAAGTAAAATATTTCTATGCTATGAATTCAGCGGTGTTGTAATCACTAGCTGTTAAAATCAAAACACCTATGTCTCTTATTTGTTTCTGTAGAAAACTTGCCTGTTTCCATTTGACACCTGGAGAGTCAGCTCTGAACAAAATTCAGACATGAACCAGCTGAGAGCCATATTTAATAATTTAATTCCACCATGCATAAACCATATAGAAAATACTTTACAGCAATGACAATTTAAAAAAAACAAAACAAAAACAAAACATTTCATGATGCAAAAAAAAAAAAGTGTCACAGATCACTGAAGGCTCACGTTATCATCGGGTTAGGCTGATGGTAGTTAGTACAACAAAAAGTCAACAAAACAGTTAAAATGAAAAACATGAAAAATCAAGATTTGTTAGAAAAATGCTGATGTTACGTTTATGTTACATCCATTCTGCACCCAGCAAAGGATGGGCGCGCTTGATCTTTACAACCATAACTCGGTCTTTGCTGTGTAAAATGGGTCTTGGTGTCTGGTGGTTCATCACTGCTTTGCAAATGAAGCACACTAGGAGTATGTCATCAGTGACCCCCGACAGAAATGGGGGTAGACATGAATGAAAAGGGGGGCTTGGAGTGTTGGCTGAGGTGAGGGTTACATGCAGAAGGCATCCACTTTTACACCTCCACCCTTTTCAAATGGCACTAGTTAAAAACAAGAAGTCATGGCAAAAACACTCCTTCATATTACAGATGATTAGGGACATCATCCCACAACTAATACTGCTTTCATTTCATCCGAGCGCGGTCAAAACATTACAGCAAACCTTTGCAATGTTTCACCAGCAGCTCATCTTCACATATCTGGAAGAAACTCAGTGTGGCATTTGATTACACTTGTATTTCAGTAAAATCTCATTTTGTCTCTGTCTGTAAAAAGAAAAGAAATAAATAAAAATGATCCAAACTGGCCTTTACTTATGTCGAAGCAATATTATTTCTAACAATTTCACAGTTGTATCATCTTTCCAAACATGTCAGTGGAGTCACAATACAGTGAATATGGAGTAATTAACATTATGAGCTTCTGTTTTATAGAGCTCCTTTGCTTTGATTTTTGGGATATTAAAATTTCAAATAATTTGGCGCTCAAAACCCATCTCGGTACCGAAGTGAATTATCCCTCTCAGGCCTATAAAGTCGATAAAGCCTCAACATTATGATTTCAATCTGTTGAACTGCATCCAGGAAAGCGATCAAGAATTTCAATTAATATTTGGAGCACATCTGCTTGTTAACACTGCTTAATTACAATACTGCTTTATACAAATGACCAAGGCAAAACAAAAACATCATGAAGCACTGGTTCACATATTTGTGTTTTGTCTGTTATGATGTGTTCCTCTCTTTACTATCTGCCAGTGGATTAGTGTTCTGCGCAGACAGTGTGCTAATTTAAAAGGTAACTCTGGTACTTTTTAACCTGGACCCTATTTTCTCATGTTTTTATGTCTAAGTGACTAATGGGAACAATAATTTTTTTAATTGGTCCAGTATTGAGCTATTTATAACGCTGCAGCAGAGGAACCGAGTGCAACATAATACAAATGAGCAACTGTGCACCGTCAATTTACGTCCACTGAAAGAGCTTGTTTTTGTCACTGACAGACTCAGATTATTATCGTAAGTATCTCACAGCACTATGGAAAGGATCCCTACACAAATAGATCTTTATGTTAAAGAAAAAGATCCTTTTTGTTCAACTAGAAACAGCCCTGAAATCACCGTCACCAAACCCACCAGACTCCACTGAAATAAACAGTAATTTTAACATTGTATAACACACTTAATCTAAAGTTGACATAAACAAAATAAAACTCATGAAAACCATCTTGGTTCATTTTTCCGCTGTTCCAACAATCCCCACCTTAGGCTTGGTTGAGATAAACACTTAATTCACCCAGTTAGATGTGAAAACATGCTGGCTCTCTACATGCTAAAATGACTGTTATTTAAATGGAGTTTGGTGGGTTTGGCAATGTTTTTTTTGAAACTGTTAGTGATTAAACAAAAAGGTCTATCTAGTCTATGTGGGGATGCTTTCTATTATGTTGTCAGATACCTAACAACAATTTGAGCCTGTCAGTGGCAAAAACGAGCATTTGTAGTGGATGTAAAGTGACGGTGTACAAATGCCCCAAGTGATTACATTGCAGCCTGTTTCGTCACTGCTGCCTGCAGTGCTCTCCCTCAGTACTGGACCAGTTAAAAAACGTTGCTCGCATTTCTCACTTAGACACAAAAACAAAGGATAATAGAGTCCAGGTTGAAAAATATTGTAATTACCCTTTAAAGGCCTGATGGAGAACTAGAAAGTCTAAATATTGAGAAAAATTATGTGTGCTTGCTGCAGAAATGTTCCCAAAGCTTTCATTTAAATGCAAAATAGCGTTATTTTTCACTTTAGAGGCGAAGAGAGCAAACACAGGATTGCTTCAGGGACAGTGAGAAAAAAAGATAAACCATTTAGTGTACAGCTCCATCAGTTGTAACATAATTATCCAGCAACAACTCTTAAACAGAGGCTTATAATTTGACACAAAAAAAGGGTAAGTCTGCATTTCTATGTTAACAACTAAAAAACTACTTAGTGTAAAATGACTTTGTAATTACATTTCAGTCGATGGAAAAGAAGAGGGAGCTGTAAAGTAAAGAGTTTTTAAAGAGGAATGAAAACACATTAGGTCCAAGTCACTTAAGTTCCATTCAGAGGAATGAGTGCGCATTATGGGTGAGCAGTTCCCTTTTTCCATTCATTCATTCATTCATCCAGCTGTCTACAGGTATGGAGTCAATGCTTCTTAAAGGGATATCTTGACACAATGGAAAACAAAGCAAACAAACGGATCTCTTACCACCAGAGTTTGAGGAAAACATGGAGCGTTATTGCCTTTTAGACCGAACTTTGACACTTGTTTAGAAGTGTGTGGCTCATTTGGTTTTTGTGGTGAATGTTAACGACCCAAGGTTTTTTAGCTAGCTGATTTCTGGTGTCTGGTGAGGAAAACTCAAAAATGTCAAGGCATCCATTTAAGAACAATTTAAACATATACATGGATCACTCAGTGTTTCCCTTACATAGACAAAGTAGTGTTGTTCCAATGCTGTTGCTATCTTCTCGCCATGATAGAGAACATATTCTCTTTTCTTCCAGCTCATCAAAAAAGATCCTAATTGTTTATTTCTAACAAGGCTGGAATATTGTCCTAAATCAACACATTTGGATCTTCTGTGGAAGCCTCAGGTGTGTGATTGAGTTTAAAAATGTAGGGAAACACTGCATCCTTCCTTTGACTTCTTCTCCACTGTTTGCAAATAGTTGCTTCCTTCGTTGATCCCTCCTTCCACTCCTCGATGTCGTTTCTATCAAGACACAAGTTCCAGATGTCTTGCATGTTTCTTCATGTTCTTCTTAAAAGTTTTCTTTTCACAGGAGGACTTCCCGATCTGTATGTCTTTCTTCTCCAAGTTGAAAGAATCGTTCTCCCCTCCCTTCCTCTCAGAACAACACGTCTTCGTTGGTAATGAGAGTTTCCACCACGAGTCTCTGGTATCGAATGTCGTTGAGCGCTGTCATGGCGTCTAGCCCGGGGGCCCTCATCAGTGTCGGGCCGAAGACTATACCCAAGTTCTCGCTGGACATGAGGTTCTCCTTTTCGTAGTCCGTCACTCTGGAAAGAGAGAGGACGGAAAGCATGTTAAGGCCAAGACACACCAAAATGACAGCAAGAAAGACTGTTGCATCGTCCAAAAAGTTGCACTTGAACACACTGCAAAGACTACAGCCAATGGCTAACTAGCATGCAAGTTCTGCAACTGTTTGAGAGGAAATAATTCTCCACAGCAGCGGATGGTGGCAGTCTGTATTTGTTGTTTAAAAGGGAAATCCGCAAGACCGACAGGGTGGATTCAAGATGCTAGTTAATCAGATAGCACATTAGCATCATGACCCGATGTAGACAGAACAATGGATATTAACCGTGTGCTAGAGAACAATTACGAACCATTTCTGCTAAAATGCTCAATAGCTAAAAAATATTGTTTCCACCTCATGCCCTCTTAAATTTAGTGGTTTGTTTGCCTTGGACCTAGGCTAATTTATACAATGTAAAATGCCATAGACTTGTGCTAATAATGTTAGCATGTTGAAGTATAAATCCTGCTTAAGCTATCACAATATGTGATTAGGTGAAATCACAACTTGTGTGTTCAGACCTCTTGAGGTGAGCCATGAGGTATCGCAGTGTCTCGCAGTGAGCTGGCGGCAGCAGCTTCAGCGCCTCGTGGAGAGCCTCCAGACGTTTTTCTGGGTCTGCTATCTCTGCAACACGCACAAAAAGGAACGCAGATTAAAGAAACGTGTTTCAGGAGCACTAAACATAGGCCATCCCACAGATAAGCAACACGTAAGAATCTTATAATCAAATGTAAAGAAAAAAAAAAACAAAAAAAACCTGACAAAATACATTTCACCCACACCTTGTCTGTGTTGCCTTCAAAAGCTCAGCTTAGCCTCTAAACTGCCCTTCCATTCATTTTTCATCTTATGTAATAAGGTACAGAAAGCATGAAGACCTACTTGCTGTTTCTATGAAGCGTGGGTAGGCGTCATACGTGATGAGGGGAATAGGCAGCTCTCTGAAGTAGAGTTTGAGGGCTCCGGTGATGATGTTGAGGTCCTCGTAGGCATTAGAGGAAATGTCCGCCTTCTCTCCATCTGTGGAGCAAAGCAGTCGGTACATCGTGCAAACATATGGACCCAAACAATGAGTCAGTGACTGAAAGAAACCCACAGATGATGGCAGCGGATAACATATCTGCCTTCAGAATTTTATTGATATTTCACTGATGCTGGGAGGCAAATTCCTACAGATGAGCAACACTCACCTCTGTCAAAGGCCAGCTTGACATCTTCAATCAACTCACTGAAGCCTGATATTCTGTACAAACCCTCTGACTGGAGACCTGAGACAGACAAGGAGAGTTGAAGGGATGATTTAAATTAACTTAATCCTGTGTTCCTGCGTTAACTCTCTTGTTGTAAGTCAAATACATGTCTAAAAAGCTGTGTCCACTTGCTATGGCGTAAATACATTGGGATGCCAGTGATAGGTGCCAGAGGGCAGAGTGCGACAAACATTTCTGGCGCTCAGTTGTGATGCTAGCAATATTGTGTTACTTATCTTGTGTGTTAGCAAGCAAGTAGTGAGCAAACAACGTCAGCAGCAAAGAATATGCAGAGAGCAGCAGTGCAAGCAGAGTCTGCTAACGTTACCGCTGCTAACATTAACATTACAACGACTGAGGCTAGCTCCTTCAGCTGGTTAAGCCGATTTATGTTTGGATATTGGTGAGCAAAACCTTTGTTTTCATTTTCTTAAAAACAATGTGACTGAGGTCTAATTCATTCATCTCTCCCTCGTCCTCTGCCTGATCTAATGGCGAGGGAGGTGTGGGTGGAGCCAACAGTCCACTGCCGCTGTACTTCCATATTGCGCCAATAGGCCTTTTTCACAGCGGATGTTTTGACTTGTCAAAGTAGGAAAAGCACAGGTGAAATTGATAACATTAACAATGGCTCAGTTCCAATTAGTGTCCCAGTAAGCTGTTCAGTGAGCCAGCATGCACAATGACAAAGCCTCTAATAAGTATTAAATACACCTGTGCTTTACCTACGATGACAAGTCAAAATGTCTGCCGTGAAATAGGTCTATCTCTAAGCCCGCGCACTTTGATTCAAGGCCCCTTTGTAACTGCACACGGCTCAAATATTCAGTTTCAGTGTGAAATACGAAGTTAAAGACGCTCTCACCTCTGTTTCATAGGGACTTTAAACTGTTGTAATTAAACACATTTAAACAAAAATCCCAGAATGCACTGGTTCAATGAGAATAATTACAGATTTTCTTCCATGATAGTAATTTGAATATATTTGGGTTTTGGACTGTTGGTTTGACAAAAGAATAAATTTAAAGACATGCAACAAGTATTTCTTCCCATTTTTTACATGTTTTAACTAAAAAAAAAAAAAAAAAAAAAATTAATTAATTAATCAATTAAGCGTAATGAGTAATGGGTGTACTGTAGATGTCAGCTGCTGATTAATGCTAATATACCACAGTGTTTGTGAAATGTTTTTTCTCCTGTTGTGCGAATGGAACAGCTTGAATGAATTAAACTGAAGGAGACACAGAAATAGGAATTAAACACACACACACACACACACACACACACACACACACACAGATTAAAACGAAGAGACGGCGTTGAAGATTGATTAGACACTACAACAGAGACAGAGTGGGGGGATGAGGAGTGAATTGCTCTCCTGCTCCTGTCAAGTTCAATCACTTCACGTTAGGTGTCTATTGATTTCACGTATTAGTTTCTTGAATCGCAGTCGATAAAATCCTGTCTCTGGCAGCTCCCCTAAGACAACTCAGATCCCATGCGGGATAAACTGTAGCACTCCCACTCTCACATGTGGGATTTATTCTGCCTGTGTACATCTTTATTCCACTGACACACACATCTTGCATACACATGCAGGTCTCGTGGGTGGAGGCAGCAAAAGATTTGATCCTCTCACCTCTAGCCTCGATTTCCTGTATGCACATGTCAACCACCATGGGCCTCTTGGTGTTGTGGGCTTTGACCAGCGTGGTCAAGTCGCAGCTGTACACCTTCTTGACGTGCCGCAGGTCCGGCTGGCAGTCGTTGGGCACGACTTTGGAGCACTGCTTGTGGACGTTCAACCCACAGTCTGACAGAGAGAGACAGAATATGACAGTGAATCATTTACACCATTGTTTTGCAGCATCTTGTGTGGCTGCATTTACATAAAAGTGTGCTTTCAGCTCTTCACACTGCTGTAAAGACCCAACAGCAATATCAGGATAATGCAATTTTGTCTCCGACTTAAAGCATAACAAGTAGAAAGTTGCATTGAAGTGTAGGCGTTGCTGAGGCACAGTTCATCAGACAGACCCACACACACTGTAATAATCACACACACAGTGTGTTCTCTGGCACCAAATTGAATCTTTTAACATTTAAAATCCACGGTACACAGCAGATGAGTCAACAGCAAAAAGTGACTAACTTTAAGCCTGCTGTCCCAGTTTCGAGTCACGGTTTAAAGAGAGAGGAGGCGCGACATGTCGAACACAGCGGAGGAGGCAGAGGAGCAGAAATTTAATCATTTTTTGGATTGAGAGAAGTGAATAATGCACTGATGTGTGTGTGTGAGAGGATGTGTATGTGTGTGTTACCTGCACACTTGACTCCCTGAGCGATGAGACCCCACATGAAGTTGGCACAGTACTCACACCAGTGGGGGCCTCTGAATGTATGAACCTGGTTATTATGAGATGGACAAAAAGGGACATTTGATCATTTTTAAACTGAAATTTATCGCAGAATTTATAACGAACTTTAAAGTGAAGAAAATATGGTCAGACAAAATAAAAAATAAACATGAGTTAAATGTGCTTAAATTATATATCTGCACAGGTCTACACTGAGAAAAAGGGGTATGCCAGCAATTACAGACACTGAAGAAAGGAAGATGGAGACACAATAGGAGTCCTTAAAAGGATGTTTATAGAAAAATTACAGTGAGAGCTGAGTTTTAATCTGCTTATTTTTCGCATAAATTGGCTCTATATAATGAAATGCTAATACCCTCCATCACACCACAGTGCTCTTTGTGAGCGTGTCTGTCAGTGTGTGTTCGTCCACATCTCCCTTGAGCTCAGTACACTGTGGCTCTGACCTTTGTGCTCCTCACTAATGGCTCCTTGCAGTATGGAAATCTGGGAGTCTGACGCACCAAACAAAAGCTTAAAGGGACAGTTCACCCCAAAATCAGAAATATATATTTCTCCTCTTACCTGTAGTGCTATTATCAATTGAGATAGTTTTGGTGTGAGTTGTGATGTGTTGTGTTGGAGATATCAGCCCTAGAGATGTCTGCCTTCTCTCTACTACAATGGAACTAGATGGCACTCGGCTTGTGGTGCTCAAAGTGCCAAAAAATACATTTGAAAAGCTCAACAGCAATGTCTCTTTCCAGAAATTCATGACCTGGTTACACAAGATAATCCACAGACCTTGATGTGAGCAATTTCATGTAGGACTATTTTCTTTCTACCAAACTACACCTGCCAACTGTATCACCATGCAAGTCAAGTGTATTTATATAGCACATTTCATACGACAAGCGTGAACTCAATGTGCTTAAGACACATCATACATGACAAACATAAAGTATCATGTAAGATAAAGTATTACATATATAAAAACAAGCAGGGCATGATAAAAACAAACAAAATAAGAGGGTATTATTATTATCATTATTCTTAAAAGAGGGGAGATAACAACAATGCGACCGGCTTGAGGTGGAGCAGGCTCACGGCTTATGTGTTTGTCACTTTCTTTTTCATTTTAACCCACACCATGATCTTTTCCTGACTCTAACCAAGTGGTTTTTGTGCCTAAACCTAACCAGACCTTAACCACAGGGCGTCATGATGATTTAAGAACGGACTTCGGAACAATGAGTTTAATATGGTCGGAACAATGGGATGTCGAACCAATGGGCTGTTGAACCAATGGGCAGTTCCCATAAAAAATACACTTACGGTACACCACTGAGCTAGCTAACGTTACATGATTAGATGCATGCTTCCTTCTGCGCAGTGATATGGCTAGTAGGTGTGGTTTGGTTGAAAGAAAATAGTTCCTACATCAGTCTACTGTGGAAGGGTAGCAGTGACATACCAGTTTTACAGTATACCATGATATAAAAGTTGACGTTATCATACCATGTACATTTGTTAAGCTACGATATTGAAGAAAAAAAATACAACTGGACGTTGAATCTCTCCTTTATTTCAGTTATTTTCTAAGGTGAAACCTTTTACACACAGTAACAAAATGGTTTCAGTTCTGGTAGTAAAACGTTTCCGTATTCATTACTGATAATAACATAAATTCTGTAATACCATGATACTGTGAAACCGCAATATTTTCTGAGACGGTAATCACACTGTGAAAATCTCATACTGTTGCAACTCAGTCTGTGGATTATCTTGAGTAACCGGCTCATGATTTCTTGAAAGCGACATTGCTGATGGGTTTTTTAAATGCTTTTTCTTGGCGCTTCGAGCACCACCATCTAGTTCTATTATACTGGAAAGAAGGCAGACATCTCTATGGCTGATATCTCAAACACTCACCGACTCACACCAACAATCTAGATTAATAAATAGCACTACAGGTAAGAGGAAAAATATGTATTTTTGATTTGCTGGTGAACTGTCCCTTTAAAACCTGAAACGTAAATGCAGAAATGTGTGTTTCTGTGTGTGTGTGTGTAAGGCGCTCTGTGCTCTGTGCGAATTTGAATAAGACCCTCTGAGCTGAATCAGCAATTCTGGCATCATTCAACGCACACACACACAAACAGGACAGGATGAAGAAGCAAAGGAGCGGCTCACCTTGAAGTTGTGGACCTTCTCATACTTGGGCGCCAAGTCGCTCTCCCTCAGGGTGGCCCGCCGCACCAGCGATGTAAGCTGCGAAAGGGCAAAAGATCTGATTGGTTGCCAGAAGGTGGAAGCAGGGGAGGTGGGTTTAGAGGGGGCTGGCGCCCGGTTGAGAAGGGTCCCTGAGCCCGCGCTGGGGTCTGAGGTGCTGCCAGTAACTGGCAGGGAGGGAATTGAACCAGCGCTGACATTCAAACCAAGAGCTGCAGTAAACAAAGAGCCCTTCTGACCTGAGTCCTTCTTGGCTCGTTTGCGGGATTGCTTTTTACCTCTTTTAACGACATACGACTCTTGGCTCGGCATTGTGGGATCTGTACTTTTAGCGTGAATTTAAGTCACACTGGAGGTTTAAATCAAACACTAGCTGTGAGACCTAAATCCCATAAATAAATACAGTCAGCCAATCAGACTGCCGAGCAATAAAAAAACAAAAAGGAAATACTCTTCTAAAGATTGTGTTAAAAATGACAAACAATGCTCAGCGCAATAGGAATAAGTACAACAACTGGACGCTCAATTCATTTCAAAGCTCCATCTGAGAACAACATCCCAAACCGAGGGGCCAACACACGACCAATCCCGCTGTCTTAGCAGCACAAAGATCAGCCAATCAGATTAGCCTTGCATACTGATGGGGCTGCATGGTGCAATTCCAGTTCATAACAAAAAAAAATGAAACAAAAGCCAGCCAGCCAATCAGAAAATAAAAAATTATGAAATAAAGTTCCCAACGCGTTCCCAAATCCTTCAAACCGGACTGATGCGGCAGAATGAGCATTCCCGTCTCGCAGTCTCGTGTAGGTGAGCGTTTCAGCCCACATGGCTCAGTGTGTGTGTGTGTTAATCCTCTTTCCCTCCACACACTCACCAGGCAGAACTAGTGGAGGAGGGAAGTGATAAAGGCGGAGAGAAAGAGAAAGAGGAGGAGGAGGAGGAGGAGGAGGGGGGGGGGGGGGAAGAGGAGGAAGAGGAGGAAGAAGAGGAGGAGGAAGAGGAGGGGGGAGAGGAAGAGGAGGAGAAAGAGAAAGAGGGGGGGGGGGGGGGGGGGGGGGGGGGGGGGGGGTGAGGCTGAGCTACGGTGCAGTAATGGGTGAATTTAACAGGTCACATTGAGAGGAGAACGAGCCAATCAGAACGCAGAGGTTGTTGTTGTTCGTCACCAATTTCTGCCACCTCAATTGTCCCGGGAGAGAAAGAGGAAAGAGGGAGAGAAAGAATGAGCTGAGAAATAAGCTATTATTTTATTCATTTGTTTCTTCCCTCCATTTTGTCATTTTAACATCAGCACTGACTTGTTTTTCCTCTGATGTTTCCCAGTCTGTCTCTAATACTTGTCCACTGTAAATAATAGACTGCTTTGGTGTGCTTTCTGTTTTTTGCTTGAAATTTACACAACCCCATGTCCTCAGATGGCCCTGCTCATCCGTTATAAACATTACATAAGAACAGTTTAAGGCTAAAATTTCACTTAAGAAGTGCACTAAGAGTTTTTTTCGGTAAGTGGGGCCTCTGGTGGGTGGATTTTTGTGTGGCATTTTTTGGGCTGAGCAAACTGTCAACAAACAAGCAGTGGGACTGCATTACGTCCTGTTACTGTTGGAGAGATCTAAAAGCTTCACCCTGTGGGCTTTGTCCTTTTTATTTATTTTTTTTAATTTCTTTATTTATTTTTAGATATTGTAGATACTACTGTTATACTATCATTATTATTATCATTATTATATTTTTAATTAGATGATAAATTCATTATTATAATATTTGCTGTTGTTTTTTTTGTTTTTACTTATTTTTTAATTTAATCTATTATTTTTAAATATATATTTGAAGTGTATTCTTCCTATGTCTTTTGAAATTATGTTTGTTTGTATGGAAAAGAAGAATGGCAATACCATGTTTTGTTGTTTTTGAAAATAGCGAACAAAAATTACTGTTTTTATTATTATGTTTTTCAGTTAATTATAGCATTATTATTATTATTATTATTATTATTATTATAATGATTGCTTTTCCTTACTTATTTTATTAATTTGTTTTTTTAAATATGTGCTTCCTATATGTTTATTTTTTTGTTTTATTATTAGAATTCTTTTCTTACTTATATATTTGTACACTTTTTTTAAGTGTCATCTTCCTATGTCTTTTTACATTTTGTTGTCCTTGAAAGTTTAGATACTGTTTTACAAGTAGTAATTTTACTGTTGTTACTATGTTTATGTTTTTTAATTATTTAATAATTTTATTACAATAACAATAATTGCTTTTCCTTGGGGCACGATAAAACACTGAAATAAGATATTTCAGATACTACAAATCTACAAAGTATAATTGAAACGTGACACCATATATTCAAATCAGTAATCCTCAGCTTATATCTACAACACAGTGCATATGTATGACTGGTCATGGATATTTAATGATTGTTTCCATTGTGTGGAGATGGCAGGGTTGATAACAAAAGAGCACCCAGGTTATAGACATAGAAAGAAAGACAAAAAACAACATAGATGTCGGGAAGACGAGGGAACAAAGCTAGTTATGCTTAGCAAGCTCATATGTTTATATGTGGCACTTTTAGCTCCTAATGTTTAAGTTGGTGTATTCTTTTTTATGTATTTTCCATCAAATCTGGTTGCTGCCTTCTTTGCTCACCAAAATACTTCCTGTCACCATCCAGTGAACTCACCCTCAAAACAAGACCTTAAAATTTAAAATTTAAAGTCATCACCAGAACCACGTCTCTATCAGCCCCCTGGGGACCATAAAAACGGCATTTAACCCGAGATAAAAGGTGATTAGCTGCATGAAATATGTATATCTCGCATGTCTGTCTTCCCTGCAGAGAGCCACCTCTGGTCTCAATGTCACACTCGTACTGCTTTGTCTGCAAATCCACACAATTATGAAAGCACACACGTAGGACCACCCCCTTCACACACACACACATACACACAGACAGTGATGTATGAGATGCAGTGTAGGTGGTCATGCACCGCAGGTCACACAAGGCCTCAGGAGGTTCAGTGCTGGTGTAGCCGATAAACGCACTGCACACACTACTACACCTACTTTGTTATGAGCCTGTTGGTGTTTTGTGTCGTCCATTTCACCTGGAATGTGTTACACTGGTGTGTGTGTTCATATACATGGTGGTTTTAGAGCACTTGTCTGAATGGATCTACATCTCCTGCCTCCTCCAACACACCCACCTGCACAAACTCACAGCTGCAGAACTTAAATTTACATGAAACCAATGATTAGCATCCAAGTTAGCTCCTGCATCATATAGTAAACCTCACATCTCCAGTCCAAACCTCTGTTCCCAAACTCTAAAAAAGCTTTAGAAAAAGTTTCTTGTCTGTCCTCTGGCTTAAAAACTAATCACAGAAAACAATTATCTCACAGCCGAATGGAAACTAATGAGCCAACGACGACTCCTGAATACTTATTAGACAGCTTTTGGGAGATAGCAGGTTTCTGCAGGCAAACTGCTGTTATGTAATTTTGCTGCAGAGCCTTTGGCTGGAGGCCATCTCTCCTCTGCATCCATCCTCCTCCTCCTCCTCCTCCTCCTCCTTCTTCTTCTCCTTCTTTCACCATGTTATCAACTCTCATCCTTCCATCTTAGTACTGTATACACAGCAACTTTCCTTACCTTTACCCTCATTCTAACTCTCTGCAGCAACATTTACTTTTACTGATTACATAACCTTTATTTATACATTTAAGGTCCAGTGACTTCAAGAGATTGACTGGTGCAAGTTGTTTTGCATACTGCCCACAGCATAAATTCACTCATCTTCCACTTGCAAATTACTCTTTCCTTCCTCTGCTGAACTAAAACTGAACATTTCGTATTTTCGCCTTCTAGTTTCAGACACATACATTTAAAGGACAGCACCATCAAGTTTTTATGTATTTTTGTAGCTTCCCAGCAGTGTTCCAAGCAGTACGGTATGTTTCAGTTTGGATGTTTAGGTTTCAAAGGTACCATACTGAAAGTATTTGGTGGAAATGGGGCTTGAGTAACACACTGCTGTGGATGCCATGTTAGTTCAGATCCAAAAGTAACACAATAACTCAAACGAACCAGCCGATCGAGGCAGCAGACGAGCAGCAACTCATGTGTTCTGCGAGGTAAAATTACAGTTTTGTCAAATAGTCTTGTGGCTTTGAAGAAAGCAATATAACGGCTTCACTTGCCTATCAAGAAAGGGTGTCTGACAGCAAGGGAAAGTGATGAAAATATTACACTGACTATGGCTAAATACCTCATACAATCCTGTTTCAAAAAACGCGAACTAACCCTTTTAGTTATTATCATTGCTATCAGTGCTCGTCGCTCTAATGGCTGAATGTGTGTTTCCATTTGAAAAAAACAGAAAAGAACACAGATGGGCCCGCTCTATAAAGATGCAAGTGTAGTCTTCATTAGGGATGGGTATCGTTAAGATTTTATCAACACTACTACTTTTATCGGTACTCTTATCGGTTCTTTATTTTTTCTAAATAATTACCCTCTTTGCTGATGTGATTCACTGCATGCAGGTAACATTATCGCTGGTAGAGGAAGGGGGCGCTGTTCGTGTCAGCCAGCAGCTTAGTTTAAATGTATTTGCCCAATTTTTAAGTCGCAAGCTAAGTTAAATGCTTAGACTACACACAAACAGCTGTCATTTTCAGCTAATAGCAAATTGTTACAAATAGGCTATGAGAGAATGAGGACAGAGCAGAGTGAAATATAGCTGTTTAAATGTTCATGCTTGCTGGTCACATGTATTGACAAAGTATTGGCTTTTTACTTGCTAAGATTTAATGCACTACAGTCATGAACATAGCTGCCATCAACTCAAGTAATTTTCGAGTTATCTTTACTTTGTTTCCACCGCAGCCTCTCAGCTGTTTACTGACTACTCCATGTTGTGTGTGTGTGTGTGTGTGGATGTGGAGGTCAGCCGCAGCACAGAGCGCAGATGAGATGCTGCAGGATGATGAATTAAACCAAAATGTTTTAAAGTAAGTGAGTAAGTAAGTATGTTTTAAAGTTTTAAAGTACCGCTAAAAGAACCGATAACATCGGAGCTTATCAATACTACAGTCTTTGATAATTTAGCCCCGGGGCTCATTTAATACTGTGTTTCGGTACCCATCCCTAGTCTTCATCTCTCACTCCTCTGGATCAATCCATCTTTAAAATCTCACAGTACTCCTACACAATTTCCACTGTCAATGTCTCTACTAATATGATCTCAGTTTTGAGATATGACTCACTGATTGCTCACCATTTTATAATCTCCAACAAGTAAAAACAGTTTGCAAAAAGACCCAGCCGAAGAAACGTGATGATGAATGATTCAGTTTGTCTCAGACTGGTTACTTTAAGGCCTAGTTTAAGACTGTTGCTTCCTCCAGGGCATCTTCTTTGGTCTGTAGCCAACTCTCTGTGCCAACACAACTCCATTTCTTATTCAAACCAACCCTCTAAAAATCCTGAAGCTTTCAGGTCAGCTTGCCAAAAACATATGTTAATTGGAGGACTCTTTTGGCCTGAGTTGCTACACGATTTCCATTTCCATAATTCCTGCAGAGAGTGATATGTTTTGGAGATACTGATCGAGTATTCACAGTGGTTAATGCTTCAGGTTTGTTTTCACTATGTCACCCTTTAGCTGGAGATACTTCCTCAAAATGAAACTGAATGGAGGATAATGAGAAAGAAAATGTGGGAGACTTTGTATTTCAGGTCTGAACAACAATCATATTGTGATATGTCAAAACTTTAAGGTCACAAAACATTTGCCTGTGTCAATGTTCATGCATGTGTGTTTGTCCTCACCCTCTCCTCAGCGTTACGGTCATCTTTGGCTGGAGCAGGTCCATCCGGGGCCTCTGGACTTTGAGGCAGGTGTTTTTTCAGGGTGGGCTCCTGGTTCAGGGTGGTGTAGCCCACGTGTTCGTAGATGGGGTTTATGGTCATCTTAGCGATGTACTCCGCTGCCTGACAGAGGAGAAGGTGGCAGGTTTTTATTATTTAAGATTCAGTGTCCTCTAAAAGCCTTTACACACCGAGGCATTTTATTGATGTGATTCATCTGCATGTTAATATAGTTTTTCAAACTGTTGTTTTTATCATGAGTTCTTTCACAAAACGCAAATATTACACAGCAAAAAAGGAACATAAGTTTTTTCAGAACCTGGTTGTTTTTTCTGACCTTTCCCACCATGAATAAAGGCATCAACCAACCATGTTGGGCTTTTACTTTGGAGGACTGTAAAACAACACTTATGCCCCGCTTCCACCGAGCAGCACGGTACGGTACAGTTCAGTACGGTATGCTTTTTCCCCGTTTCCACCGTGAAAAGTTACAGAGTGATCGTCCGCTATTGACCAATCAACAGAGTGCAGTGTTCACAGCTCCACCTTTTAGTACCAGATCTGTGTGCTAGGTACCCCAACAGAGGGGTAACCAAACATGGGGACGCTAAGGAACGCTTCCATTGGTACCATCCACAACTTTTCATAGCGGGAACCGAAAAAGCGTACTGAACTGAACTTTACCATACGGTGGAAACGGGATTAAAGGCAGCACATACTAGATCCACTTCTTCCATTCTTACCTTTCACAATAAAAGCCCTGGGCATATATCATACAACAAGGGTGTCTACAGGTATGACACTTAAATGTAATTGTATGAGCCATATTTAACTTATCATTTATTATTTACTCATTGAAATGGTTCCTCCGTACCACTAGAGGGCTGTATTTGATGTCGCAGCAGATGCCGCTGACCTGGGGTCACCTTAGGCCATTTAACCAGGTTCAAAACAAATGTATAGGTTTTGCCATGCTAATCTGGGAGGAAGCAAAAAGTTTTCGACTGCGCTCACTGTGGTTTTGTGAAGTAATCCGTGTTATTATTTTTATGTTGTTGGATGTGGCGTTATTACCTGCTGTACGGACTAACGAAAGTTTTGTGGAAAATAAATGGCCGGATTATTTTGAGTTCTAAAGGAGGACTCGCATCATTTTCTTTGAGTGCACGTCAAACTAAATAACGTAGCCCAGTTAGCATTACCAGCCAGTAGTGGCTACAGTATAGGACTTAGCCATTACAGTAATACTTTTTAAGGTCTTTTTAAGATGACTTTAAATCCAAGATAAGATTGAATTATGGACGAATCATCTTGTTTTATTTCAAGCATTGCAGGTGCATTTTAAGGTAAGCAGTATATATGTGGTGCAGCGTAAAAATTCAACTAAACGCCCAGTCCCTTTTACTAGCTTGGTGTGGCTTCCCATTTTGAAAAAGAAGCGCCTGACTCAATAAATAGCCTGGGCTATTAATTTAAGTTTTATGGTATATGAATGAGGTTACATTTTGCCAACAGGCAAGTGCAAGTATAAAGTAAAAAGACAGTATTATATAAGTTCAGTAATAGGTTTAAATACTTGTAACATCAGAAATGTTGACTTTAATGCAGAAGAGCTTGACTCATTTTGACAAGAAGAAATTCAAATTTATGACTATTTAATGACTTTTAAGGCCTAAAATTTTAAAAAATTAAATTTAAGGCGCAGCATGGTGGTGGTGTGGTTAGCACTGACTGTTGCACATTTGCATTACTGCCGTCAAGTCTATTTGCATCAAAACCCTTTGTTGAGCAACTGTTGCAAATTCACATCGCTGCGGGTTTGAATAGCTCCAATGCAAAGTAATGGCAGGCCAGTATTTTGCGTTTTCGTGTCGTTTCTTCATCATGCACCAGGTGTGTAAAGTCCTCAGCAGAATCAGTGATTATTTTTCCTGCCTGTGAAACCACACTTGACTCACATGTCCCTGGATCTTTATCTTACAATACTATACTTGACTTTACAGCACAGCTTTGCCTCACAGTACTTTCCTATTGGCTGAATAAACATATAAACACTTCATGGGGAGTGAGCTCAAGAAAACGCCAATATTCTTTCTTCCTTCAGGCGTTATTTTCAAAGAATCCAGGGACTCAGATGATCAAGTAAACAAGCGGTGATCAAAGGGTAATGATATGTGAGTCAAGCTGAATTCCTGGCAAACATGAGCTTAAAGCACAGAGCTTTAAATGCTTCCACTTCGTAATCACCCATAATCAGCATTTACATCCAGTGATTACAGCCCTGATCAATCTAATTGTGCAGCACTGTTCTCAGAGCCAAAGCAGGAAGTCATTTTTTAGGAGAGTAAGAAGGAATGAGCGGAAGAAACACACACCTTTGTCTCAATATAGAGTGTGATGAGGCCGTCTGTGACCAGGTCGTGGATGGACTCGAACCTCTTCTCTCCAACAAAGTGCTTCCCGTCATGGTAGAGACGGAAGTTTCTCGTCTGGTTCCCAAACCTGGATGGAACAGAGGGAGATGCTTTAGTTTAGGATTGTCTGGCAGCAGACTGGATACTACAAGTTTAAGTTTGGGTTGGAGCATTAATGCTTAAAATGACCCATTTTTAATACAATATTTGATCAAAATGACAACACTGGCTGGCTTCAAAGAGTGTGGAAAAAGAGATATAGGGAGCTTCAAAGCAAAATACAGCAAAGGAGGAAAAGAAAGAGGATTCTCCTTACTCTAACTCTGAGTCAAAAATGGCACAAACTCCATTATAGACAGACTCTGAACTGGGCCAACACATTTATCTGCTCCTCAGTGGATCACAGTGAAACCACCGCGAGATAAAACAGCACCATTAGATCATTAACCCAAAATCCAACCTTTCCTTTTCTGCCGACCCAGAGTGGGACACTAGTTTATAAAGTGGGTATTTATGGAAGGTAATTATAACCACAGGGATTGAAGAGGCAGTGAAAGAGAGAGAAACATGAGCAGGTGGAAGAATGGCACAGCTATGAATAGAGCAAACTGACCCAAAACCAAATTCAAATTATGCCATGCACCCATTTAAAAGTGTGACACCTATTTGGAGGAAATGATAGCTCACATTGAAGTCAAACTGATACGCTTACAAGCTAGTCAAGCACTTTGAACTTCTATAACATCAAACCTAAACACAACTGAAGCGCCTCGAAGCAAGATCAACCAGGAATTTAGTCACTTGATGCCTCAGAGAAGCTCCCATGAACCACCACTTCCTCACACTCTGACCTCTCCTCATGAGGAAAGGTGTGCAGAGCCATGTGAGTTCAGAGATGAGCGCCTTTGAGCAGCTTAAAGCTCAAACGGCTGCCTTTAAACCCTCACACCTCGTCTGAACACACGATCACACATGCTTCTCAACGCGCCGCAGCGCCTCTTTTTCTTGCCTTGTCACACAAATCTGTGCAGGCGCAGACAAAAGAGGTCAAACAACAGTTCCTACTGATGTCTCAGGGGATTCACAAGAAGCAGAGAAGCAGAGAATGCACAGTAAAATATCTGTAGTTATCTCTTTTTGGCTTACATTTTAGTACTTGAAAATAAAGAAAATAAAAAACTATAATATTACACTGCTCATTCCTCCATGAGTGAAAAAAGAGCATGTTAAGTGTCTTTAAAATGCTAAAAAAAATTGGTCCTCAAGTTAAACGATTGACTTGTTGATTATATTTCATATAATGAGCTATTATGACTGGCTTTTGATCAGAAGCAGGTTTATGGAGGACAAAAGCTGCCAAAATTAGAAATACATTTATTAAAAAATAAATAAATAACACAATAAATAAATTGTGACATTAAATGCACCAAAAATAATATTAAAAATAAATGTAGGCATTAATTAATTTGCTTCACTATGTATATATTTCCCTATTTCATTTTCTCATTTCTTTCTTATTTTTAAAATTTTTAAATGTATTAATTTATTTTTGCATTATTTTTCATATTTATTTTTTACTTTTTTTAACTTATCTATTTTCATTTTTTTATTTATTCCTTTATTCCTCCATACAGATTATGTTGACAGGGAAATACATAGTAACCTAACAAGCTCCTTAACAATTGTATTTAACTGTAGTTCTATGTAAAATGGTAATTTGGGATTGTCTAGACTCCGACCTGACTTAACTGTTTTTCTAGTTGTGGTGGTTTATTGGCTAATAAATGTACTGGAATACCTGTTCCGCTACTTAAGCTTACACTTATCCACTGGCACCACTGAGATCACATTTGTTCTTGATTGTCTGCCTCTCCCTAAATTAGCTAAAGACACAAACATTACCTTAGAGCCAGTGTGTACGTGCCCGGCTGTCTCTGACTCTCTCTGATGAGGTAGCTGCCTTCGGCCTGACTCAGCAACTGGTCGGCCTCTTCTCTTGAGATCATCCCATGGAACCTGGTTGTAAAAAGCAGCAAAATATTAGGTCAGGATTCCTTGTATCACAAATATGAATTAGCTGTTGTAATACCACGAAACTAGTCTTCACACAACCTTACCAACAAATTTGAATTTTACCATGTTTTGTGTCTCAGTGACTGATGGAGAAAGGATCCCTACAGAAATAGACCTTTCAGTTCAGTTTAGTTTACTTTAGTTTAGTTTAGTTGGATTCCAATTGCATTGCAGGAGCTATCAAGTCCACAACAACTTTACATTTGTGACAGTGCACAAAACAGCTCACATATAGCACAAAATAAAACAACCGGACTAAAACATTGACACAGACAAACCAGACCAGGTCCTGGTAAAACAACAATATTTAAGATCTATACATTTTCATGATTTCATTTGGTAAGTAACCATGAGTTTGGGGCTAAATTTAGCTCCGATTGCCTGATGATGCTTCATTACTATAATATTAGACCAAGTATTTACACAGCACACTCACATTTTACTCATATGTTTCCATATACACATTACAAGTACATTAAAAGGAATAGTTTCCAGGAAAAACAATATTTTTACCATGCATGAAGTTCATTATAGTGCATGAATCAAATTATATAGGTCACCTTTCCTTGTAATCTTATTTGGAAAACATGACAATATGATTGGCATTGTTGAAGAGTGAGATGGTTAAACATAAAGGATCTCACTCTTAAACAAAAAGATCTATATCTGTAGGGATCCTTTCATAATGTTATCAGACACTTAGAATAACAGTCTGAGCCTGTCAGTGGCAACAACAAGCACTGTTAGTGGACGTAAAGTGACGGCTCATTGCCCTGAGTGGTTATATTGCAGCCTGTTTCGTCTCGCTCATATGTTGTTCCTGTTAGTCATTCAGCCACAAAAACACATGAAAATAGGGCCCTGGTTGAAAAATATTTTAGTTACCCTTTAATGTTTGGTATTGCATGGCAGTAATGACCCTTGCTCCACAAAGCATGTTTTTATGTATGTGGGAAACTTTGGATTAAATGTAGCAAAAATGAACAGCAAAAGCTATATGGTAGGTACAGATGGATTCAAAACCATCCTCATTGTTGGAGATAAATTGAGACAATGTGCCTCATGTAAATCACTGATGACGAGAAGACAACTTACTCTCTTCCATAGTATTTAGGTCGGTTGTCCACCTGCAGGGAAAAGAAAAAAACACGTAGTCTGTAAAATGCTAAAAAAAAAAAAGAAAGTAAAAACTGGGATTTCCATACAAGCTTGAATGTTTACATGACACAATAACACCAACAATGTCATATTGCTCTGTAAGACACACAAAAAAACAATATAATGTGTGAAATGCCCCCACAGCTACACACTGTGTGCTCGTCGTTAGTGTGTGGGCGCAGAGAATATTGCACGAGTCAGATAAAAAGCTGAACATTGTGTTGTTCTTAACAAAACTGCTGTCGAGCCAATAAATCAACAAAGATCCAACAAACAGTGCTGAATATTAATTTGGCTGCTGTGTGTGTGTGGAAGAAGGTAGGCAGGTGTGTGTGTGTGTGTGTGTGTGTGTGAGAGAGAGACAAAGACAGAGGCAGAGAGGAAAATAATAACATGCACACTTAAGTTTAGATGTTAAGCCTTGTATGTGCAAAATGCCAACACTCTCCTGTTCTGAGTGTAAATGTGGTGCGTCTACAGACCGTATATTATTAGCAAAAAATAAACTCCTGCCAGTTCAATAGAGTGAACACCAGTATTAACTAAAAGCTTTAATACAACACAGTCAAGATGGTAACAGTCAGAGTTAGCCCTCTCTCATCAGCCATGCAGTTGCACCTCTGGACGCCTACCAAACTGCTCTGAGGTCTGTCAGTAAGCAATGGAGCCCTGACTGCACATTACAGAGTACAGAGCTGGAGGGAATAAGCAATGCATTGTGAGTCTCATCTGCATAAACAGTGTATTTCAAATTTAATTATGAAATAATTTGGTAGTGAGTGAAATGTTTACCTGGAATGCAGGGATTAATTATGTATAGAGTTTGCTTTCAATTTTGTACATGATGTATCCATTTAGGCAGATACACTGCATGTAGGTTTTTGAGCATCCTATATTTAAGGTGGATTTATACTTGTGTCAGCTCTATGCAGAGCCCACGCTGTAGCCTATGCCGTTGTGAGCATTTATACTTGTGCAGTGGTGTGTCTGTGTCACTCTGCAGTTACAACTCCAAAACAGTAGTCGGCAGTAGGGCTTTTGTGAGATGCTTTAAAGTTTAGTTGATCAAAACACACCCAAAACACACATTAAACATGAGTTAATAGTAGGGCTGCCATGATTAGTCAACTAATCGATGACTAATCGACTATTAAAATAATCGGTGACTATTTTAGTAGTTGACTAATCGGTTTGAGTCATTTTTCATAAGAGTACTATAAAAGTACGCCAAAATACTCATATTGCAGCTTCTTACGTTGAAATATTGGCAGCTTTACACACTCTCCCATGACAGTGAACTAAAACCCTTCGGCGTGAGTAGGAAACAAGACATTAGATGACGTAATTTGGGGTTTGGGCGAGACAGACCAACATTTTTCAACATTTTAACACATTTTTCGATGAAATGATTAGTCGACTAATCGAAGAAGTAATCGACAGATTAGTCGACAATGAAAATAATCCTTAGTGACAGCCTTAGTTAACAGTGACCATTTCAAACACAAGTACACAAATCAGCTTCACTATAACTTGCAGCATTCACAGACAAAGCACTTGTCTTTTGCTGGACATATTTTCCTCACAAATATAATATGCTAACGTTTTTAGCACAAGCCTATGGCATTTTACATAGTATAAATTATCCTAGCGACATGCAGAGATTTCCTCTGCTCATAAGAAGCCAGGGACAACAGCAACATTTAACAAATGTAACATTACAAAATTTGGCTCCATTAAAGCTCAGAAGGTTCACTGACAAAACAACTGTCTTATACTAAACACGTTTTTCAAACAAATACAACATGCTAACGTTATTAGCACAAGCCTATGGCATTTTACATTGTATAAGTTAGCCTAGCGACTAGCAGAGATTCCTCTACTCATATGAAGCCAGGATAAATTACACACAGGACTTAAAATACAATTTTCGGAGGCTTTATTGTCTACACAATTTATTGTTTCTTATCTGTGAAATAAATGTAAATAAAAGCTTATTTCCACTAAGGGAAATTGTTTTTAACTTACAAAAATAGACAATATCATCCCCCTGCAGAGCTGGAGAGCCACTGTTATAGACATGCGCAATCGTGAGTTTTATCACCACCGTTTTAGACATGCATGTGTGAGTTTCAGAGCCACTGTTTTAAACGTGGGCATGCGTGAGCTTGAGGGGGCGGGGTATCCAGAGCCATAGAATAGAACATTCAAGGACTATCCAAGGGCTCTGGGGGTATCTATCAATCATTTTAATGTGGCCAATCAGAGGCTCACAATCCCCAGTCAGTCAAAAACTTTGCAGTTTTTAATTCAGCCAGTCACTTCACAGTTATAAGCGTGGTCAACATTTCAACTAGCTAGCTATGCTAGCGCTACCTAGCATCTGTGTATCAACTCCCCCACCATAATGATATAGTAACTTCAACCACAGCTCATTTTAGAGGGACCACCGTGAGAAATGTTCTTTGTAAAAAATTATAGCAACGGACAATGCATCATCGTTGTTTGTTTCTGGCTGCCAGCATTAGCTAGCTAAGTTAGCTGAAAAGCTGTCTATTTCGACCTCAAAATGTTGATCAAAAACGTTGCCGTCTGTTGATACTTTGTAAAGGTTTAATGCTAGAATGGGTAGTCTGGAGGGACAGGTCAGCCTGTCTGGTGGGGAAGGGGCACAAAACCTTCGCTAGCTTACTACATTTTCACCTGTTTAGGGGTCCTCCACCAAAAAATTTTGAGCATTAAACAGTCAATTTCCTTCTCAAATTCTAAATGTTCCCTCCCTAAATCTACACATATGAAATATGTGTCTGCTGATTTAACTGGGTCAGCACCGACTACCTGACCAGACCGGGGCATCAGAGCCAACAGCTGTTCACTTAGCATCTACAAGCACACTACCATCCATTAAAGCGTGCCCTAAGAGGACTGTCTTTTACAGATTAACAGATTAACACAAACACCAGACATACAATCCTTCATTATTTAATCCCTGGTGGATTCCCCCAAACCTTGCTCAAACCCCCACCCACCCACACACACATCTGGTGGCTCTCCCTCTTGTGGGCAGAGGTGCTGGCACGTGGCATTTCACCTAGGACAGAGCCTCTACTTCATCTGTATAAACTTAGCTTACAAAAACAGATGCGTATATTCATGTTGTTTTCATGAGAAATAAAAGGCCAACACTTCTACACACCTAAATCAAAAAAACATATTTTTTCTCTTACCTGTAGTGCTGTTTATTAATCCAAATTGTTTTGGTGTGAGTTGCTGAGTGTTGGAGATATCGGCTGTAGAGATGTCTGCCTTCTCTTTAATATAATGGAACTACATGGCACTCAGCTTGTGGTGCTCAGTGAGCCAAAAAACACATTTGAACTCAACAGCAATGTCCCTTTCCAGAAATCATGACCCAGTTATCTAAGATAATCCACAGACCTTGTTGCGAGCAGTTTCGTGTATTTTCGTACTACACCTGCCAACCATATTGCCGTGTACAAGGAAGCATGTATCTACTGGATAGAGCTCAGCCGAAGAGGACGTCAATAATGTTTAAATCTTGCACAAGCCTCTAGTCCATGAGTAGACAATTGTACCAATATCACTGAGGAACAACTGGAGTGGATAACTGCTATAGTGTTGTTTAGTCTCAGTCCTACTGACGCAAATATAACAGGAACTGATGCTACTATTGAAGGTGCTTTTACCAACATGAAAAAAACGATGCTGTGTTTAACATTCTAAGACTGGTTTACCAGTTGCCTTCCCTAAAGACAATGGATTGGTGAACTACAACAAAAACAATCAACCCTGCTACAAGCCGAGTCAGCGAATGCAGTCTCTGAGGAGACGAAGCACACACACCCAAAGACACACTATGAAATGTTCACCTTGCTTGAGGCTTGATCCACACCATTATTGTCTCAGACAGAAATTGTATGTGATGCCACAGAGTATGCCTGTGCAGTGACGATACAAGGTAATGGGATACCTAAGTGACCCCCTTAGGGTGCTTTGGCTTTAATTCAAATGGAACATCTGTGGGAGGATATACCCAGATGACAACTCTACTGACATCCTACACCTGTGCTCAAATCTCCTGCTCCTCATTTAAGCTACATTGTCATGTGCTAACCCAAATAGCACAAGGGATCGTTGCTGTTGCATGCAAAGTGGCGCAACATCCACAATGAACATTTTGAGGCTTCATTATCTCAGCCCAGTTGGCAGAAGAAAATTCTGGCATTGCATGTTTCTGTAAAACCACTGATATGCTACATTTGCATGTTTCATACATTTTACATCAATGTTTCTACTGTGATGTAACATATGAGCTGACTTTTGTCATCTGGAGGTGGAGGGGATAATAGATGGCGTAACACCAAGGTAAGATGCAGTGACCAGGTAGTTGCTGCCAAGCTGCAGACCACTGTTGAGCCCCGTTTCCACCAAGCAGTATGGAATTGTTGGTACCCATCTTTCCGTTTCCACTGTGAAAAGTTGTGGATGGTGCCAATGGAACCGTTCTGTACTGTCCCCAGTTTTGGGGAACATTGTTCCTGTGGGCTCCAGCAACACTAAACCCCTGAGCTTGCCTGAGAGGGACTAAATGCACAAACCTGCTATTTTAAAATATCCCATCGAGAGACTGAAAATGTTGCCGTGCAACTTCGTTCTGTGGACGATAAATGAGGTGCAGATGTTCCATCTATGAGGAAACACAGTAAGTGCTGGATGGAGCAGTGAGTGAAAACAACCCTGCCCACATTCAAGAGTACTGTTGCGGTGGAAACGCTAAATGGACCTAAGGTCTTGGTACCATGTCTGAAGGGTTACTTTTGGTTCCAAAGTTACAGTACTGAAAGTATTTGGTGGAAATGGGGCTATAGAGACCAACAAACAACAACTCCTTGTTTAAGCAAGTCACTGCTGTGTTTCCAGCGGCTTTTTGGTCACCAAATGTGGAATTTGTTGTAGTGACCTGTTGCTGATTTTCCATCAGGTATAGTGCCACAAAAAGAAGTCATCGCATTTTTCCTTGCAGCTTTTTAGCCCTAAAACATAGCAGTTTTTTTAGTAACCTGCCACTGTTTTTCCACCAGGGATAGTGCCATGAAAAGCAGTTGTTTTTTACCAAGACATTGCTGCGTTGACAGCAGGCGTCATTCCCCCAAAACTGGGTATTTTTAGCCATAACATGATCTTTTCCTAAACATAACCAAGTGTTTTTGTGCCTAAACATAACCATGTTAACCACTGTCATGTTGAAACGTAAAGACATCTCTCTATAATTTGTAAACCCTTTGCTCTGTATCTTGTCCAACAGAAGTGGTATTTTTGAAGAGCAGTACCATAAAGTCTTCAAATGAAATAGTGTGTTAAAGGGAGACATGACAGACTTGTTAAACATCGGCTGGCCGACAATCAAAAAGCGTGTTCTTACTTCGCAGGTGCAGGTCAGTCTGCGTGGGTGAGGTGCCTCCTGCTGGAGCTGGTACACTATGGCAGAGAACACACAAATCATCATCTAAGAGCATGCTGCCAGCATGCAGAAACCCTCCAGACAAAGAATAAGTGTATAGCAATCTTAAATTCAAGATTAAAATCAGAATAATAACACACAAAATGGTTAATCAATACTCACAGTAAGACTTCCATACTGGTGGCCTGTATTCATCATGATCTGAGGACAGACAAGTACAAGAGCTTTACAGTAACTTAATTTCCTTTGCTACAGTGCCCCCAAGTGGACAAAACATGATATCTGCCTGCTCCACTGAATGTCTCAATTTTGATACAAACCATCAACTAGATAAGATCGTAGCTCTCTCATTTAATTTAATCTATCTTATTTTATATCAGTGACATAATACAGAGTATATATTTGTAGGGGGAGCTTGATGTAAAAATCAAAAGCAGACATTTTACATTCAATCAAATGAGCTCAAATGCTGGTTTAAAGGATGAACAGTTGGAGCTGGATGAGGATTTTGGAGCAATCATGATTTTTATTAAGGCCATTGCCAAATAAACAAGCTAAATAAACAGTTTAATGTCTAAAAAATCCTCACACTGACAGCATGACTCATGAAGTTACGGCTTTCAGCTACTTCATTTTCTGCAATTACCTCTGGGTATTACACTGATGCATGATGCTCTTTTACAACAACAAAAACCTCACTGAGCATAAACGGCGTCTAAGTGACTTCGTACATAAATCTACTCTGTCAAGCATAAAAAGCCGTGAAAGATTCATTTGTAATGCTCCGCAGAAAGGACGGCTTGTAAATGAATTTTCACTGCGATGTTTATCTTTCTAACACCCAGAAAAGCTTGTGCTGTCACCGCCTCGGGCCAGCCTTCTAAAATGAATTGTAGATGGGTATCAACACTGTAGCAGTGTGTCCTCGTTGCTTGTTCAGCTGTTGCGGAGCATAAACAACACTGACATTAATATGAGACTCTTTGCAGCATTAGACAGTGAGGAGAACAGGATAATTTTCAGCCCCGAGCACTCAGTTGGAGTTTGGCTGAACTCTGCAGCAGCTACTGACATTTTCGGTAAAAATCCAACAATGTGATTATTACTGTGAAACCCTTTCAGGTGCAAAGTCTATGTTTGTACAATTATCCACTGACTCATTGTGTCCAAAACTGCAGGAACAACTGAAACTAATCATGGAATCAGCCAAAGAGAATGACTTTGTTTCAGAACTAAACTTGCTCCACTTGTATATTAAAAAATCAGTAGGAAATCAACTAATCTATCTGTCCTTTGGTCAACATCTTGCACGCCGTCTTCCATCTCCCCTGCATGTGTAAAACTAACAGCCTGCTTCCTGTCTTGGTGTACTCTGTGTTCACTCTGCAAGCCTTATCTATTCAACACTTGTCGTCCCGGTATCCTGTCTTCAAAATAACTTCCAAACCCTCCCTGGGCAAGTGTCTCAGCCTCTGTCTCAAGACAGCAGACCCTCACAGTCAGACACACTCACAAGAAACCAGACAAAACATATCGACCGCTGACAGCTCACAGGGTCTGCAGCAGGGGTGGAAAGAAATTAAATGCAGCGATTTTACAAAGGTGGTACAGGGACAACAATAACGCCTTAGCTGAGTATCTCTATTTTTACAGCGTTATGTGTCATCTGGTGGATTTTCGCTGGCTCTAGGGCTGTTGCTCAAACTACAGATTATTCCTCTGCATTTTTGTGTACCCGCCACCACAGACACAAAGAGTACTGAAGCACAACGAGAGAATGAGCTGCCCTTCTCTTTCTCTCTCTCTCAAACTTGGACCAAAGCCAGACCAAACCAGGCAGTACTGATCAAATCTAAACCTAGATTCTGTTACTCTATCACCTGTTTCTCACCTCACCACCAGAGTCTGTGAACAGGAAGCCCACGCCATACTGTTTACTGTACTGTGGAAAGACCTCGGACAGTAAAACTAGGCATAGCTGAGCACATATAAACCAAGATTCTATTACTGTATCACCAAATTCTTGCCTTAAATGTCTTCAGAAACATATTTTAGCTTCCTGTTTAATTGTAATTCGAGATCATTTGCTACAAGCCAGCCGCCACAAAACGAAGGAGCTTGCATTATGTCACCAACCAGCAGGAGCACTTAGTGGTCTGATACGGCACATTGCATTCTGCTAACTGTGGGTTTTCTATCTATTCAGCAAAAGAAAATACTACAGCCCTTTGTCTATATTTTCTCTGGACATGTAGCACCAATTTCAAAAGTATCTGTGTTGCTCTACTGTACAAACAGCCTAGTTTTAAAAAGCCCATCTTTCCAGCAGTGAAATACAGAACTTACATTACATAGTCTACAATAACTGCTTTACCAAAGTAAACGTAGAAATAAACAAAATAAAAAAGTGAAAGTCCTGCATTTAATACATTGCCTGGGTGAAGTACAGTATCAGTAATGTATTTGTACTTTAAGTATCCAAAGTAATAGCCCTGTCAGTGTTTTTTGTATATATATATATATATATATATATATATATATTACTAGTGGTGAAGTGTATCTGTGATACTGCTTTGTGTTTTATTACTGTTAGTTTATTATTTTGTGCAGATTACTTATAACGTCGATATGTGTGTTTCTTTTTACCAATGTATACTTTTTTTCCTGATGCTTTCTGCTTTTCCTTAGCCCTCTGCTGCAAATTTTCCCACTGTGGGACAAATAAAGGATTATCTTATCTTATATATGCCAATGTTTTTTTTGGCTGATAGGTGGGTATACTGTAAACAGCCAGAAAAAGGTGTGGGTGTACTCCATATACCTGCGTATACCCTCCACTACACCACTGAACATCACATATTATATAATTAGGTATTAATGCAGATGCATTACTGTGTATGCTGCCTTTTAATGTTGTAATAGCTCATGGTAAAGACAATTGAACTTCTTTATACACTGTTGGATGTTTAATCTATAAAGCTGCATCACATTTTCTGAGATAACCAAATGATTTGTGTGTAAAATCTAAGTCTGCAAGGTACCCACCACCTATAATTGTGAAATAAATAAAGCGAAGTAAGACTTAAGGGGAAAACATTAAGTACTACTTCAAAATTGTAAACGAATAAATTGATTTAAAGCTATGCTACTGAATCCTTATTTCTAGTAGCCTCTCCAGATTTCACCACAATACATAACAGAAACATGATCATAATAAGTGATGGCTGTCCCCCACAACAAACAAGTAAAAATGCAGACACAAACACACCATTAAATACACTCAGTTCAGGACACAAAGGCCAGTATCAGAGGCGTGATGCTGCTTACCAAAGACATTTAGGGCCATCTTGATTCTGTGATATGATGATAATGATGATGAACAATTAACCAGCAGATCCAAATTCCTATCAAAACGGACCCATTTAGTTAAAATCCTGAAAGAGAGAAGATAAAGAATAAAACAAATAAATAAGAGAAGAATATGTTGAAAGTGTTTAACCACTGCCTGAGGTGAGCTGCCCTGGCTGAGGTGAAAAACAGCTGAGTAACGGTGAACAATAAATGATCGAGCTCAGATTAGAACACAGCTAACGTTAGCGGACTCGGTACTTCAGCTGGCAAGCTGAACCGAGCATAAAACCCAGCTAACGGTTGTTTATTTTACGGTGAACTGTAAAGAAAACATTTGCTTTGTGACACAGTGGCAGTGCACCGGCGGCGGTTTACAGCAATATGAAATTACACACTGGTTTATTAATGAAACGGTTAGCTAATAATACGGAGTACTCACATTCAAATCCATTCTGCATTGTGGTCGCCATCTTGCTGGGTCACGTGAGCAGGCTCGCCCTCTCTCTAGAGTAACTATGGCAACGGACATTACTGATGATACCGATTTAAAGTTTTATTTTTTATACTACAAATAATTTATTATGGGTACATTGTGTTACATTATATCGTAGCTGTTGTAATAAGCAACATTGGGTATTTTTTTAAAGAAATAACCAAAGCTCCAAACTAGATATCTAACTGGGAAAACGTCTGCCCTTTCACTTGCAAGCAAATGGTACCTTAAATAGTGACAATAATAGTATCTTTGTCACGATTAAAAATATGTATTTTTTTTCAGGAAGCCATGGCCGGTTAGCTCAGTTGGTTAGAGCGTGGTGCTAATAACGCCAAGGTCGCGGGTTCGATCCCCGTACGGGCCAAGTATGTTTTTCTACATTGCCACTAACCTACCTAAGCACATCATGATCTACTGATAGTGAGAAAATCAAGGTAAGACATTTTCTTGACTCTAACTCAGGGGTATCAAACATACAGCCAGGAGGCAACAACCCGCCGCCAAACAGTCCAATCACGCCTACTGGATGACTTTGTACTGAGAGGTTTCAGGAGAAATTTAAACAGTGAGTAGATACTTCATGTACTTACTGTAGTAATATTTAAATATATTAAATATACATATTGTCAGCCAGCAGCTCCAGTACAATCTGTATCAGACTTCTGTCTTAAAACAGTATGGGTTGGTCCCTGCTGCTGAGGCCCTCACCAAACTTCAGATTACAAATTGTTTATGGTATTTAAACAACTATGTTTTCATGACCCTAGCCTATAATCATCTGCAAATAAGAACTGTTATGTTTTCATTAGCTTACAGTAAGTCATTTATATCTACAAACAGAGCCAGTCCTCTCCCTCCGCCATGTCGTCAGCTCTATAGGGCCATTTGTGTTTTTGCACTTTGCATTGGCATCCATATTTCTCCTCTCCGTTTGGTACATGGAATAAGTTTCAGTTCTGCAACCTCACAGCTAGATGCTCCTCTATCCTGCACTCTAGACCTTTAAGTAAAAATATGTAGGTTGCCTATTACTTCCAAAATGCTCTTAAACAATCAAAAGTAAAAGTACTCATACATGGGTGCAGATCTGATGACAAGTTTGGGGGGGACACAATCAGTTGTGATTTTTTTTTAATTGCACGCGTGCAAATCATGCCCACAGACGCTTGAGATTGCCAGCATATTTCACGATTTCATAGAGCACTACAAAGAGAATCATATGCTTACCTTTACTGTTTATTTCTCTTAAACAGCCAGTAGTACATGGAACCAGCCATCACCCTCCTTTTCACTGCTTCGCTGTTAGTTAATGCTACTTCTAGTTTCAGGGTCTCAGGCATGTTATGTCCACTCACGTTCTCATCTCTCACCTCTCACAGATTCTCATTTCTCCTCATCATCTTCCCTTTTTCCCAGTATATAGGACTACTGTATACATTTGTTCAATTTCAATCATTTAAGCTATTTAGAATTGGGGGGGACAATTTGTGTTTTTCAGAATTTGGGGGGGACATGTCCCCCCGTCCCCCCCGGGATCTGCACCCATGTACTCATAATTTAGACAAAAAGGCCCTGTAGGTGTGTTTTACATTATTATGTTTCCATAATAAGATAGATTAATACTATTCTAAACACTGTCGGGTAGCTTCATCTACAACAATGCATCATACTGTATAAAGTCATGATTTTGCATGTAAAGTCTTTCTCTACAAAGTGTTGTCTGTGGTTGTAAAATAAATGCAGTGGAGGAAAAGTATAATATTTCCCTCTGAACTGTAGTGGAGAGGAAGTGGAAAGTTGTGTGACATGGAAATGCTTGAGTAAAGGTCCCCTAAAATTAGTATTTACAATAGTTTAGTAGATGGAGTAACATATACCCTAAATACATAGGCAGATTATGAGACAATGGGCCCCTGGGCATGGATATGCAAAGGGCCCCGCCACCTCTCCTACGTAGGAGCAAAGCACACAGACTTTATTAATTCGTATCTTTGTAGTCGTTACACATCTCTTTGTGATTTTGTGTCTCTTGGTTGTCGTTTTGTGTGTATTTGTGTTCATTTTGCGTCTCTTTGTGGTGATTTTAGGTCTTTTTGTGGTGATTTTGCTTCTCTTTGTGATCAATTTGCAATTCTTTTTTATAATTTTGCATATCTTTGTAGTCATTTTGCATTTCTTTGTGGTGATTTTAGGTCTTTTTGTGTGATTTTTCATGTCTTTATTGTCATTTTGTGTCTCTTTGTGGTGATTTTAGGTCTTTTTGTGGTGATTTTACATGTCTTTATTGTCATTTTGCATGTCTTTATGGTGATTTTAGGTCTTTTTGTGGTGATTTTGCTTCTCTTTGTGATCAATTTGCAATTCTTTTTTTATAATTTTGCGTATCATTGTAGTCATTTTGCGTCTCTGTGGTGATTTTAAGTCTTTTTGTGGTAATTTTGCTTCTCTTTGTGATCAATTTGCGATTCTTTTTTATAATTTTGCATATCTTTGTAGTCATTTTGCGTCTGTGGTGATTTTAGGTCTTTTTGTGGTGATTTTGCTTCTCTTTGTGATCAATTTGAGATTCAATATTATCATTTTGCATATCTTTGTAGTCATTTTGCATCTCTTTGTTGTGATTTTGCGTCTCTTTGTGGTGATTATGTCTTTTCGTGGTGATTTTGCATGTCTTTATTGTCATTTTGTGGCTTTTTGTGGTGATTTTGCTTCTCTTTGTGATCAATTTGAGATTCTTTATTATAATTTTGCATATCTTTGTAGTCATTTTGTGTCTCTGTGGTGATTTTAGGTCTTTTTGTGGTGATTTGCTTCTCTTTGAGATCAATTTGCGATTCCATATTATCATTTTGCATATCTTTGTGGTCACTTTGCATCTATTTTTTTTGCTAATTTTGCGTCTCTTTGTGGTCATTTTTCCCTTGTTATAATGAATTTGTGTCTCTTTGTGGTCATTGCTTGCCTTGTTGTAGTCATTCTGCATGTCTTTGAGGTCATTATACATCTCTTTGTAGTCATTTTGTGTGTCTATATGGTTGTTTTACCAATTTTTGTTGCAGTTGTGCATTTCTTTGTAGTCATTTTATGTTTCTTTGTAGTCATTCTAATTCTCCTCCTTGCAGTACATGTCTCTTCGAGTCCCATTTTGCAGGTGAAGGCCAGGGGGCCCCCTAACACTTTGGACCCCTGGGGCTGTGCCCAGTAGACAGACAGACAGACAGATAGATAAATAGATAGATAGATAGATAGATAGATAGATAGATAGTACTTTATTGATCCCTGCCTGGGAAATTCTTGTAGAAATTCTGTAGGCCTGTTCATTAAGCCATTCATGCCTGTATACAAGTATATAGCCAGTGTTTGTGCAAGAAATATATATATATATTTCAATAATAAAATACATTTAAGTTACACACTATATGCACATACTAGGTGATTTTTTTTTTTTAAATACAATTTTCACTGCCTTCTTATTTTTAACTTATGTGGCGTCAGTCCATTTTTAGATTTTGTTTTTGTTTAAAACTTTTTTTCCTAATCCACAGAAATATTAAAATACTACATTTCTACTCTTAAATTTTCCAACATGTTTTACTGACTCTGTATGGTGTAAAAATCCCAAATAAATTATTTTTTACTTAATTAATAGCAGAATATTTAATACCAAGCAACCATATTTTATGCCAGTTTAATCCTCCATAAAGACAAGAAACATGTTTTATATTATATTTCTGAGAGGCTACATTTATTTGAGCATTTTAAATAAAGAACTCCAGTACCGACCTTTGCCTCCACACTGTCATCTCCCCGCTCCCCCATGCGGTGGCGCTGTTCATCCGCCCTGGCTGCACTCTCTCCCTGCCTGGCTGACACTGGAGCCGGGGCGCTGTGCTGGAGGCGGTGTGTGGAGCTCTTTATTGTTCCAGTAGAAAGCTCAATGCACGGTTTCCCACATTTGTCTCAATGGCTACCGCACAGAAACCACGTCCCACCTGAGAGGGAGCGGTTCGGCTGCGAGGAGAGGACTCACTGACCCAAACTTAGAGCTCGGTGCGGGATTTACCGTCCGCCTCGGAAATAAACGCTCCTACAGACGGACAATCTGTGGATCCTGAAGAAAGAGAGGGGTAAGGAAATTATGCTATCCGGATTATGAAGCGAGGTTACACGTAGCCTCTCCGGTGCTCCTTGTGTGGGGCTCACTTGTGTTCACATTCAGCTACATTTGTTGCAATATGCGTTTCCAGTTTAGAGACTTTGGCTCCTACAGTGCGTGATGTTTGATGAGCCTGCTGTCTTAAAGTATAAGCTCGCTTCCATTGCAGCCAGCCTGTTCATTTTCCTAATCGGCTGAGCTGTAGGAGGTCCAACAGAGCTTCTTTTACTGTAAGCTTAATTAATGATAGACAAGGGTCTCCAGGAAGTGCTACAAACATTTACACAAAGTTAACATTTCCTGCATGTTAGTGTTTAACTGGCATGTGCTTTTGGTGATGTTTTATATTGTGGATTTTTTCCAGCTGCCTTTCCATTCACCAAACCTTGTCTTTGTCATCACATGCACATTAATATATAGCACACACACACGCACGCACACAGCAGCCCTGTCTCTTGAGTGTGATCAGGTTGCCTTTTAGCCTACTGACATCTTTACTCTGGCCTAAAGGATTACTCTGCTAACCTACATCCTGGGGCTTACACTCTCAGCCAACTGTACTCTAATGTGTGTACCTTTATTTAGAGGTGTGTCTGTTTCACTTCACTTGACAAAGCTGCTGCATGTTGAGCAGTATCGCGCCTCCTAGGTCCTCCTTGGTGTTGTCACTGGCAGCTGATAATGTGCACGGCACCCATAAGGTGACAAATCCCTTTCATTTATTGATCTCGTGGGGGGGGGGGGGCACCCCCCTGTTGGAGGGAGGTCAAAGCATAGGGTCAGTGAAGGCAGCACCTAGGGTCAGCTTTGTTCTAAATTAATA